GCTTTTAAAATGTATTATTAGTAAGTTTTGATAAAACTAGTCTTAAATGACAATACTATAATTATAATGTTATGAAAGATTGTAAGTTACATAGTATTAAATAAAATATGATGTAACATTAAATGAAATATAATATAATATTAAATAAGTGAATACAGACAATATTAATAGTGAATCCCTAAATAAAAAAATTAATTATATAACAATATATTATATTATAAACTTACAAAAGTAATATTATAACTATAATATTCTTAAATCATATGTCAATAAAAATTTTAAGTTTTTATTTAATTTATGTATTAGGAATATTAATAATTATAATTGTTAACTAATGATACAACTAACATTGTTTTTAAAAAAATGCTGTATACTTTAATTAGGGATGTCAATTTCCTCTTAAACTCGTAGAGGTCTGCGGAATACTCGTTATAGGGATAAAAATTCCAAAAATATTTATTTTGTGGAGCCGGGATGGAAGCACTTTTTTCTAATGAAATTTCATGAGAAATTTTCTTCGTCTTGTGGGAACCCATGAAGAATCCATATATAATAAAAAAAATATATAAATTTATATATATTTATAATTATATTACTAATTAATTTTTAATCACCTAATTTAATTGGATAATCCAACTCAACTTAAATTGCCCAAGCCGAGCCGAGCCCAATTCTTTGTCCAATCTTTCCAAACCCAATTTAATACAATAAGTAAACTGCAAATTGCAGCAGGTCCACGGCTAAATGCCAATTGCAAGTTGCAGTTTATGCCTTTTTTTTCTTTTTTTTCTTTTTTTTTCTATGAATATGCTGCAGAAGCTGGAGTGCTAGACATGTATAACAATATGTATAATGTATTTATTTATTTGAGTTATTTAAAATTTTTATGTTTTTAAAATTTATAAAAAAAATTAAATTTTATATATTTAATATTTGATAAGCACTTCATGTAATAGCAAGAACTCATCATTTTTCACGAATATAAAAATGGAGGTTATTTTTTTTACTCTTTATCAAAAATATCCATAAAGATACTCATATCCACCATTAATATGGATGGAAATGGACAGACGATTCCCGCCCCGTGGAGACCCAATGTCATCTCTAACTTTAATTATCTACCTATCAAACATACTGCTAGTTCTTATATGAAGATAGAAAGAAAGAAACATCAAACGTCTATTTGGCGAAAAAACGAACGAAAAATGAAGATGAACCCTGTTTGGCAAACCAAAATGAAACATCGAAGAGGAAAAGAAAGGATAAATTTCTGATACACAAAATTTAACCCATACATGTATGGTAAAAGATATAATTTTTTAATTAAATAATTATACATAATAGATCAATCTGAAAAATTAAAATACATGATCTGAAAAATCAAGAATCTTATATTATTGATAGTGATTGAGCAAGATGTGTAGAAAATATGATGAACACTCCAAGTTATGTTTTCTCATTTGGATTTAGAAATTTTTTTCTCAAGGAACTCAAAGAAATAAGAAGTGGTTGCTCAATCTACGTCGGAACCCATAGGCTGAGTTATATTAGTATTTTATTATTTTTTTGTTAAATTTATCTTGATCCTCAACTTTTTTCATATAATTTCTGTACTCAATTTTTATTTTTATATAATTTTTTCTTAAATGTTATGTTATCTATACTTCATTTTCTTATCTCTTTATTCATCATATACGTACTACTTTTTATGATATTGAGAAAGATGAGAAATATAAAAAAAAAAATGAAAAATAAGAAAAATAAAAATTAATTAAATGATAATATATAAATTTTTACTTCGATTGCTTTTTGTTTCAACAATTATTATTTATATTGTATTTTGAATTACTATTTTGGCATATGCTATTAATCATTTGTAGGTGAATTTAAAAAAAAAAAAGACTATCATTAAAAAATGCTTATGATTGACAAGGTATAACAGTAATTTTAACTTGATTAAGAAAAATACTACTAATTTAAACTGAAATTTCACAGTTTTGTATGGTAACTAGCGACTTTAAATTTTCTCCCCTTCACCTGAATTTCTAGCTATGCTACTGAAGAATATATTTCAGCCATTGCAGTAGGTGGACAAATCCTTTGCCTTTGAAAAAGATTGTTTATGAGGCAGCAGCAAGCTGAAAAACATATTTGTTATTCTTCACGTGTTTTGTTCATGGAAATTATTTTATTCCATCGTGTCATTTTTCCCAACAGAACAAAGCAAATAAGAGATGTGTGTTCTGCTCACATAAAGCTTCTGTTTCAGTTTTCTATATTCTTACATGATCATCGAGACTTCCTTTTGTAAAGAGTAGTTTCATACAGATATTGGAATTATTCATTTCATGAAGAAAAAAAAAAAAATGGTGTAAATTTTAAAGGAATTCATCTACACTGCCGTTTGGTGAAATTCCTTGCTGAAAGAATTTTTGTTAGCAAAGTTTTCAGCCTCCTAGACCCAGCTCCAGGCCTCAACTCACCATAGTTCTCACCCTGCAATCCCAAGCACCGTGCCTGTGTCTTCCCATGTCCAGAACACCAACCACCATAACTGAATCCTCTGTGACTTCTTTTCAGAAGTTCACGGTCAATTTTGCTAAGAACTGGATCATCTCTCTTGAACTTTCTGGCAAATGGGCGGCTGCTCAGGATCATCCTTCGGAAATCTTTGAGTCCTAAGTTCCTGGGATGTTGCTTTGGAGGGTTGTCCCAGGTAATGTAGTGAAGGTCATGGTTAGCAGTTGTGTTTCTGTAGTCTTCAGAGTTGCATATAACTGTCTGGAAGTAACCCTCTGGAGAGGACACAAAATTCGTATAGTACAAAAGGAGTGTCCTTGGCAAGTTGTCCCACCCAACTATGCAATACTCAGCAAAAGACCTTGATAAGATTGTCCAAGCTGAGCCTGATTCATGAAGAAAATGAAATTAATAATCAAAGCATCTATATCCAAAATCAATTGGCATTAAGAAGCAGAACTTCAGTATAAAATCACAGAAAAGCCAAAGTAAAGTTTAACTGATATACAAGTTCATTAACATATCTTGTTAGTGTGTATCTTGATAGAATAAGTGGTAGAAACAGACCTAAATAAAATATGGAAAAGGAGAACTTAGACTCTAATTTGTTATCAAGATCTACCTAAACTGGAACTGATATGCAAGAGACTGAAAATTGATATTTACTATGGTAACGCCAATCAAACAGATGTTGAAATGGGCAAAATTATCAAAAGAACTTTTCCACCTGAGCAGTTCATTCACACCAACCATATGGGAATGGAATGAATCATCAATGCCTCTGCTTGGACTCAGAAAAGCATGTGCAATTTCATAAAACAATGCATTTATTTGAAGACAGTTATTTGGACTACCAAAGATTCTTAATTGAAAATTGGGTTTTTCCAGGCATCTTGCATATTGTTAAATCTTCTCTAGATTTACTTATCATTCTGTATCATTCAGAAACCACAAAGATAGCTTCATTAATTTGTTTCTACTTTAAAATATGATTATCAAAGTGACACCATACATGCAGGTTGCCATGTGTTAAATTCAAAAAAATAAAAATAAAATGCTTAGGCATGTGCATTTTCTAGACCTTGCAGCCTGGAATTTTGTAGGAATCTAAGTCAAATTCCCTTTTTAGGGTTGTTTCCTTTGATTGGGTCGTTGAAGCCTATGTCTAGAAACTAGAAATCAAACCTGAAAATGTCAATATGGTAAGGCTTAAAGCAACATATTCCATTTTTTCTGCTAGAATTAGAAGTTTAGAAGATGGTTTTGAAGTCCTTTTCACCGGAGATTATGACATATCAATTCCCAGCTAACAACAACTTGTACCTACCAATTTATCATAATTAATGGCGGTTGGAAACTTAGAAAAATACAATAGAAAAGGACATGCCACTGATAGAACAAAAGCAGCATTTAATCCCATTAAAAAAACAAAAGTTTTTCTAACCTATCCGTATAAGTTAATATTGTATTTATTGTATTTTTTATTATTTATTTGTATAAAAATTATAAAAATAAACTTTATTTTTATTATCAACATCACATGAAACAATTTAATTAAGGTAAAACCTCTAAATCCACTCCTTAAATAAGGGTAGGAACAGATTTACCTCTCAAAAAATGTAGGAATAAATTATTTCTCTTAATTATAAATTGAAACAAATTACTTATTTTTTAACATGTGATATCAAAATTCTATTTGCCATTTAAGCATTTTTTAATGAAAAATTGATGTCGATTTGTCTCGATTTATAATTTGAAAGGACAATTTATCCTTATATTTTTTTTTAGGGACGAATTTATCTCTATCCTTATTTAAGGGGTGAATTTGAAAGTTCTACCTTTAATTAAACATTTAATAAATTTAATGTTAATTTTTATTTCACTTAGATAAATTAACAATAAAAATGTGTAATAAATACACTTTTAAATATATAACTTAGAAAATTCAAAAGAAAAAGTAGCATTTAATTTTAGCCATAAATAGCACAACATAACAATAAATTAAAGCCCCATAGTTAAAATCAATTTTCTTCAACTAAATTCGAATTAGAATAATCACTAAAAAAAAGAAAATAAGTAAGAAATTTAAGGCAAGATCCAAAACTACAAAAGCAACAAGCTTAGAAAAGGACCCTACTAAGAAAGAGAAGAAGAGATCATTTTCACTCTGGCAAGGACCTTGTGCTTCTGTCTATTTATATCTTAAGCATAGCCAGAGGAAGGAAGGATTGTCTTGTCGGCAGGGGTATATATGTAAAAGCAAAGGAATAATGGACAAAGTTTGCAATCCCCCAAAAGATTATTTACTACTTGAATCCTTACAAACTTTAAGGTATGTATACCAACACCAAGTACCATGGCACCTTTCTATTTGTGTTGTCTCCTCTCCTCCAGTAATTCACATGCTAGAGATAAGTTAAAGTGTTCTTTTGAAAATTTAAAAAAA